AGTGTGTGTTCAATGCTGTATGTGTATGGTAAGATGTGTGTTGAAGAGGCTATTGGGAGAGTAACATGTGATGGGGTTGCAGCAAGTCTGAATGTGGGGTGAGGTTGTGTTGAATCAGGGGTCTGAGGAGCAGTCTAGGTATTTGCTTGGGCTTAGAAAGAGAGGGAGTAAGAAGAAATGGCTATCCTGCCATCTGGGCTGGTATGCAAGTGGAGAGAGGATGGAATGTATTATTAGCTTCTGGATAGGAATAGCAGTGGGAAAGTATATATGTAGAGCAGGGAAGTGAGGGAAGATAAAAGAGGTAAATTGCAAAGGTGAAGAGCATCACCTCAGTGTATCTGAATGAAGAACATCTGGCTGAAGTTGAAGACCGAGGCGATGCTAAAGGCAAGGAGGAAATGCTGCGGACGTTTTTTTCCCCATAACAATCCTATCCATTGATAGCATGTGTTCTCAGAGGGTTAAATTGCTGCACAGCCTTAGAGTCCTCTCAGGCACTGCCCTACAGGATACCCAGATATAACCACAGGGAAAAATGCTGCTCACTTCCATCTGCAGCTGATTTGAAAATTGAGTCTGCTATGATCAGTCAAAAATGGGCTACTGCTTCAACAGAACACCGCAGCTTGAATACTGCACTTCTGTGGGCCACGATCTTAGCTAGTACTGAAGTCATACGGATTTGGCTTGCTATCACCAGGAATCCCTGGGCTCCGCAAAAATCCTAGTCACTTCAGGGTTCAGCAAGCCCACCTGGGCAGCAGCAAAGCATGCCAGGAAAAATCGTCATGATTCAGCACTGTCTACACTGATTGCCCATTGAACAGAGAGTCCAAATCAGGACTTTTTCTTGGCTTTTCAAATCCATGCTTGGACCTGGGCCTAGCTACCTGACAGACCATCTTGTTCTGTGTGTGATCACAAGCGCTCATGATTGTTACATCCCAGTGGAACAAGGAAGCACTTGGCCAATAGAGGGAGACTCATGACCACAGGAGACAAACACTCCCCAGGAGCTGTGCCAAGACTATGGAACTCATTGCCAGATGAAATAAGAATGACTACAAGCGTGCTGAGCCCATAACTTAGTCCAAACAATCCCACAATATTACCCTTACTTATATCAAAGCTCCTACTCTATATTCCATGATTTAAAAAACAAACGGCAGCAAACATATCCATAAGTCTGCCAGAAAGCATATTGGTTCCAGGGGTTCAAATGGTGTTCATGTTTCAGGGGCATACTGGAAGGTGTGGGAGTTTAAGGGCAAGAGCACGGGGATAAGTATAAACTTTGGTAAACTTCATACACAGCCATGACAACAAAGCTATTGAAATCTATATTTGCAAAGGGTGGAAGAAATTCTTGTCTATGAGGACATCTGTGTCTATGAGGAGTAGGGGTTGTGTTTTCCTGTCTGTCAAGGTGAGAGGAGAGACAAGTTGCTGGAATAGTTGCTGCTGGCAACAGGCATATGTGGATTACAAGGACTGTGGTGTGTGGTAGTGCAGGATGTGGGATTAGGTAGGTGTGTGTATGTGGGGGGGGGGAGTACGGTTACTGTGTGAAGAGTTGTGTGATAGGGTTAGATGAGGGGTTGAGAATTAGTTGTATATTGAAAGGAATGTATTAAAGCTAGATTGTGTGATACACAGCCTTGTGTATGCTGCCTCTCGCATGGAGCTGTATGCCCAGTGAGAAGCCCCAAAGAAAGATTGTGCCTGGGGAAAGACTATGAAGGTGGCACTATCCATTCATGTAGCACAACCTACTTCCATTGATGTAACTAACCTGCAATGTGGGTCACTGCAGTACAGGATGGGGCCAGTGTGCTGCCTCCTCCCTACTCCTTTGAGTTCTTTTGGAGCATGTGATGTCCCAAAGGGAGTCCTTGTACCCTTCTTCCCCCACGATTCCCCTTGTGTTTCCCAGTCTGCTCTATAGCATGGGACTGGAGGTTGTGCCCGGTGGAGTCCCACATCAATGTTGATATGTACAGATGGATGTGGGTATATATAGTTGTCTGCTATAAGGTGATGTCTTGTGGATACAACCGATCAATCCCATCTCAGGGTTCTAGAAAGAGATGGCAGTTCATCTCATGGGCTTCCAGAACAAGGCAATCTTCAAAGCACTATAAACAATTTCTGTGCTGTAGTTAAGTGCTTTGGTCTAACCATTGCCTTAAGACAGCAATAATATGCCAGTGCTCAGTTGGTCATTCACATCCTTTGAACAGTAAGTTCCTTTAGTAAGTTTGTCTAAATTAGAGATTTTGTACTTGTAA